CAGTAGTCCTGCTTAGCTGTTCTAATTTAAGGCTGTGGGCTTCCTTAATGGAGTCAATCCCTCTCATATGGTCTTCCTTTTCTTCTTCTGCCTTCACCTTTGGCTAGTGTGATTGTCTTATCAAGGGAGTCTTGCTTTCTCGTGATGTATAACAGCCTCCGTTTTATCATTTTTGCTTCCAGGGAAAGCCTGGCCTGTTGTTCATACTGATGGTAGTTTGTTGTGTTGTCTGAATGCAGCAGGGTGACTTCATTGTAAATTTTAATTTTACTTAAAAAAAAATCAGTCCTGCATGTGTACTCAGAAGCTAACGATAACTGCTGAGCCATTTACACAATTTCCCCCTCTGTTTTACTGCTGCACCGTGAGATTTGCATAATCCCCCCCCCGCGTGTTACTGCTTTTCAGTGTAAGTTTAGCACTCACTGCTCTGTAAATCATATCTAGATGTGAGAGTGAACAGAGAGCAACAGAGTGATGTGACAAGCAGGAAAAAACAGAGGGAACCAGAGGCAGCTAATGGCTGCAGGAAAAGGTACTTTGGGATGGGTACTTACTTCATTGTAAGGTCAGGTAGCTGTCCGGTCCGGTCCCCATCCCCGTCCCCTCTCCCTCTGCAGGCATGTGCTAGAGGAAGTGCAGAAATGAAGGAATCAGCAAAGACATTGAGAATATTTGTAAGCTGAGTTTCATAGGGACAGACAGTCTTGTGCCTAGGGGAGGTATTTCAGCCTTTTATAATGGAAAAAGACTGCACAAAAGCTGGGAAAGGGTTGGCAAAAACAAGAGAAGGCACATGTGTCAGACCAAAATCATTGGGGGAGAGTCAAAAGGAACCTCAAGTGCCTACAGAAAACATACACCGTTCCCTGCCATGCTTTGGAATTTTGCTTTCCTTCATCAAGGGCGACTTGTCTTTTGTTAGCTATATTCAGGAGAGAAGCTTCATCTGTTTCCTTTGCTGCACTTGGGGTCAGAAGGAAAGCCAGAAGGGGGCATTTGTCCCACAGGCCTCCCCTGCCTTGCTTGAAATTTGACGTTCTAAAATTCCTTTAACATCTCTTCAACATTTCTCATAACACATCAATGAGTACAGAATCCACGCCTGGGCTACCAGACATAACAGGGCTCCATTCTGAGAGAGAGACCCTGAGCTTAATCCCATCTTGATTTTTATTCAGCAGGCTCTCTTGTTTGCCACTTTTGGAGTTTTGCCTGTGGGGACTCTAACATGGCTTGGCACTTGGTGAATTAAGGAACACAACTGCCCAGAAAATTGGAAGATGCTCGCTCCTCCTCTTAGAGGGGGAAAGAAAACAACCCGCAAACAGAGGCACTCGCAATGTAGTGCATCAATCCAGGACAGCTTGTGGAACATAATTGGCCTGTTTATCTCTAGGCACCCAGAAGGAGTACTGTCCTATCTTGCCAAAAAGACTGGTGGCGGTAATTAGTGGTTTGCACCATGTGCAAGGGTGAAGCCAGCGCCTTCCTGCCACTTGTTTTGGGCAGCCTTGCAAGAGTGAGAAGGGAGCTGTGGATGACTCATGCCTCTTGTTGCGGTGCTGAGCCTTTCCAGATGAACTGCCTTTGACTTGCCCGTGCACACGCTTGTGTCGCCCACCCGCCTCCTCCTCTGGTATTGTGTTACGTGCTATTATGCAAGCCCAGCCAGCACGGCAAGACTATAATTAAGAGAGGAAAGTGCCTATTTTGCATTCAGAGGCCCACCAGGAATTCAGATGAGCTGAAGTAGCAAATAACTTGGCAGGTTCAGAATAAGGGGATGACTTGGACCAAGCCCAGTGGCTATTTTTGCCACATTTGGAAGAGATGTGCTTAGCGTATTTTTCTCGCAGCTCAGTTCCCAGGTAGTTGTTTTGTTGTCCATGTGGCACTAGCATGGGGCAGTAGGACTCACAGTGATCATCCCCTCCAGATGTCCTTGATCCCCTGAGATTAGCTGCAGTCTCCACAGCAGTGAGCAGAAAATTGTTTTTCCCAACAACAATTTATTGTTCCTTGTGAAAATGGAAGTATTTTAGGGTGGTGTGGGAACTTATGACCCATTGGCTTTTCAGAAGACTTACTCCTGGTAGATGGAGTTGGTTTGCTCCAGATCTACCTGAATTTTGGGACTTGCCTTAGGGATATGGTTATGCAAATTGTCATATGGGACTTCAAAATTTACAATGACACAACTGGGGAGAATGTAAGTTTTTTTCCCCATCTCCCCAAATGGACCTCAAGAGGGACCCAAGCTCAAAGGTTGTAATTGGTTCCTTAGGAGTACCAACTCAATGTTATCACAGATCACGTGGTTCCATGCTGGCAAAATCCTAGAAATTTGGCATTATATTTATAAAATAATGATCTCTTCCACTGAATGAAAAGAAAAAATTAAAGTAGACCAATTGAAGCAACTTCTAGTTGTGTAGGACTTAACTTCATGCCAAAAGAAAATGGTGACCTCAAAACCATGTGACTTTGGACAGATTAACACTGCCACCTACTTGGTAGTTTTAAGAACCACTGTCCAACCAATAAGTAGGACGTGAAATGATAGAGATGACCATACCTTTTAAACTAGTGCAGACTTCCCCAATCTGGGGCCAGCTGTGTTGGACTACAGCACCCAGGATCTCCAGCCAGTACATGGAATGAGCTGGAGTAGCTAATCTGAACATAGTGGAAATGAGTTTCTTCTGGATCTGTACAGAGACTCTAAGCGTGTATGGCTGAACACTTTTAGGATCTTCCGCTAGCGTAAGTGGGGACACCGGGCATGGGGTGGCCACAGGTGCATTGATGTGTTTTCTGAATTCCAGAAAGGGCTTACGGTTTCATGAGCAAGTTTATTTATTTATTTATAACATTTCTAAGCTGCACCTATCTCAGAAGCCTCGGGGCAGCTTACAAAGAAAATAAATAAACAAAGCATGGAATAACTTTAAAAATTTGGAGTTTCTTGGCCATAATTTAAAACCACTAAATAAAACAACCGATTTAACAATTAAACTATCGTTTAAATAAAAAGGTCTTGGCCTGGCGCCGAAAAGCAAATAACGACGGCGCCAGGCGGACCTCTCTGGGGAGCGCATTCCATAGGTTGGGTGCCTCCGCAGAGAAGGCCCTCCTCCAGGAACTCACTCTCCTAATATCCCTCACAGAGGGCTCCCGGAGAAGGGCCTCCCCCGCCGATCTCAGGGGGTGGGAGGGCATATATGGACGTAGGCGCTCCTTCAGGTAACCAGGTCCCAAGCCGTTGAGGGCTTTAAAGTTCCTGCAATGGCCCCACTAGGTCAGGGGCATTGTGGGACACTGAAAAGGCAGCTACCCAGAATGACGCTGTTTGTAGATCTGCTTTCCTCCAACCTGGAGCCATGGCCACTGTGGGCCTGCCCATTCCAGCATTTCTGTGCATGCATCTCCCCACCCCCACATTATAATCCTGTCTCATATTGCCCCCTGTGATGTCGCTTCTCTAATTCTGGAGCAGTCGCTGACAACCAATAATTTAGGATAGCACATGTCTTCCCACTGCCCCATGTAATATGGATGTGCCAGTCTTCTCTGGTGTGTACTGGGGAGAAATAGGATGGGAGATTTTTCCCAGGGATTTCTGCCTGGTCACTGCTGGAAACAGAAACCTCAGTCCAACGCACAATCCATCAGGGCTACTCTGATGGAGGCATCAGTTTTGTTTTATTTTCTTTTGTTTGTTTGCATTTTCCTTTGGATTGTCTAGGCAATAGGTACTGTCTCTGCTGATTATTAATCCCCACCACTCCATACCCCAAAGATGCTGAAATATTGGAACACAACACCAGGGTGTTAAAAGTAAGGCTCTCCTCTCCTCTCCTTCTGGAGACAGCCATACTTTCCAACCCACACAGATTCTCCAGGAAAGCTTTTGAGCAAATCATCCCACCTCCATTTCGGGGAAGGGCCTGAGGGGAAAGAATACGTCCACAGTTTCTACAGACATGTTCCCTTTCCGCTTGAGAGGTGTGTGTCACTGGAGACTGTTCAGGATCAGTTAAGTTGCTAAGTGTAGCCATGTTTGGCAATGCAAAGCTATTTTAAGCTAATGGATGCCGTCATTATTAAATGCAATCTAAATTAAGATGGAACAACGCATATGTTTGGCAAGCCTGGACTCACCCACCCACCAAGGCTGTGCTAATGCAGGGGAGGGTGAATTTTTAGGGGAGAATTGGCAGAAGGTGGAGTGCTTCATGGCAGAGCTCAATTCATCATGTCTGCTCAGGAGTAGGCTCCAGTGCAGCAGCTGTCAGGCATACAAAACACTGCTCAGTTCTCTTGTCAGAGATAAGAGTAGAGGCTTCCTGTACTGGGGTGGAGAGAGAAGATTGCTTTGCTGAATTCTCCCCCACCTAGCATACTGCTAGTTTTCCCTTATGAAATTTCTATCCTGCCTGTCCTTAACAGTACTTAAGATGGTGCAACGCGGTTTTCTTCAGACACCAACTAGATACAGGCCTGCTTGGCTTTACAAGCTTGTAGTACGTTCTTCTTTTCGACTGTGGCCAAGGGATAGGAAGCATCTTTTCTTCCAAGGATGACCTTCCTTTGCAGGTAGACTCTTGGGGAAGGGGCTCATGTGTTGGCAGTGGGCAGGGCCCAAAGTCAGCCCCTGACCTCTTTTCCCTTGTTTCCGCCTACTTTTTCTTTCTTTCCCACTCCCGTGCAAGCAGTGGACAGTTGGGAAGGGGCACAGGAGGGCAATCCTGTGGTGGTCTGAAGCAATTTCAGGTAGTGGGCTTTTGAAATGAGGCCAAATTCCACTGAAGGCTGTGTTGGGGAAATCCAAATAAATCTGTACAGAGAAAGATTGCTTATATACGCCTTTGTGGTGTAAAATCAAACCTGTAGTGCCCCTGCTCTTTCTGCCCAGAAAGTATCAATTCTCATTCAGGCTCCTTTTCCCCTGAAGCTTTATTATTCACCTGTCCCTTTAAGAGACTGAGACTAGCTGCTCACCTGAGGCAAATTTTATTTGCAAAATTAAGCTTGCTACATTGTTAGCTTCCACATTTCACTGCATTGAGGCTTTTATTCTGTTAATCAGCTGGACTACAGCAAACTGCCCTGACTAGTTTTCTTGCATGTCAATACACACCCCCCAAACCTGTTATGATTCATGTGCCTTTCTCTTTGTCATATCCATACTCTGCAATCACCAGTATTTACTGTAGTGATGTACAGAACTCCCCTCTGCAGTTTTCTCATATTGTTCTGTTCATGAATATGTTATCTGTTGGAATGTGCCCATTCTTCCCTCATCACCTGCCCTGTTCTTGTGAAAGTGACTAGAAACCTGTAAAATACTCTGTGTATGTTCTGGAAACTGTAGCTGCTTTGTGCACTTCTACCTGGCAGCGCTATTGTCTCTGTAGAGGGGTTTGACCTGGATGTTCTCACGAATAAAACTGCTGAGATTCGTAACACAGAGGTCTCCATGTAGATCCGAGTGTACATTCTTGCAGTCTGTGAAAATGGGATTTCCTGACAGCTTCAGCCACAGAATATTGAAGGGACAATAGCATCAGCACAATGAGTTGGAGCACACAGCACGTGTGTGAAAGTACCAAAATAAAAGCTACTTCTGTAGCTTGCTCCTGCTTGATATTTTCCCTAGGGATCTAAATGAACTATGAGATAGCCGTGTCCAGGGGACTGTGGATGAGACCCCTGCCAAATGTGGACTTTGCAAATATAGCACGGCCGTGTGAACATAAAAGCAGTGTTGCTGTTGTGGTCATTCCATTGGATTTAACTTGACAATTGTTTCTCATTAGCTACATTTACATTTTATGTGCAGCTCAGTTAATGGCATAATGCAATGCATCCATGCTGATGTCAACTGCCCAGAGAGCTTCAGCTATCAGGCAGTATAGCAACCAAAATAATTATAAATAATAATTATAATAATAATTATAATTATTATATAAGCCAGGTCTTCTAAGTCCAGCATTCTATTTTCAGCAGATACACTATATTAATCATTCACATAAAGCTAATAAAAAGGACCAGAGCATGGTGGGTAGGAAAGCTAAATATACAGTACTGCAGTGGAATAAACTGATGCACCAGGTTTTGTGACTTCCTTAAAAGGAGTGGAACATTAAAAGGGAGTTTGCAGCTCAGCCTTCATTTTCCCTTATTTCACTGCAGCACACCTGTTGGATTGCAGATTCTATGGTGTTTAAGGCAAAAACAAAACAAGGAATGGAGCATTAAAAAAGCATTTGTAGCTTGATCTTCATTTTTTCATGATTCACTGCAGCACACTTGCTGGATTTGCTCAAAGCAAAAACAAAAATGAAAAATCTCTAGTTCCTGCTGCATCTCTTAATGACAGCATTCAAAATGCCAGCACCTCTCCTTGATTCCTGATGAAAAGTTCTGCACAAATAATTGTGTGATGGTCTTGGTTAAAGAGCTGCACCGTTACATTAAAATTTCCCTGTTAAAACACAAGCAAACCAAGAACAAAGTAAGAGATCAGAATACACATGTGGTGACTGGGTCTCTTCTTTTACAAGTCACTATTGAATGTTGCCTTAAGGCTTATTTTCTCCGCTTTTGTTCATGCAGAAATATAAGGTAATAGCCAAGAACGATCCCGCAGCTCCTCCTTCCTTCTGAAAGCCAGGACCTGAAGGGCTGAGGTGGTGTCAGAGATGACATGGAAGGAATGTACTAGAATCCTATGCCCCACCTTGCACAAGCTGAAGGACTGTCTAGAAGCACAGGAATGACCCTCTTGTGCCCCCCCCCCCCCCACAGGCCCTTTTGACACCTCCCACCCCTTTTCTGCAGCTTCTAACTGCTGGTGCTGAATTGGTCGCAGTGCCGGCTACAGCCAAAACACACACACACACACACACACAGCAAGTGGGAAGGCATATTTTTTCTGAAAGCAGGTTTGTGCTGCCAGAATCCTCCCCGGAGTGTGGCTTTGCTTCCAAACACAGTGGGTGGTCTTTGCATGCTGTGTTTCCAAGAAAAATCTGAGTTTTTCCCTGCTGCCACACTCCTGAGCTTGGGAGCGTGGGGGAAAGTGGCAATGGGGAAGCTGTGCACCCCTTCACTAGCACAAGGCAGGTACTGGATGAAACCCCATGGTGGCTATTCCCAGCGGACAGGTGGCATTATAGGACAAATTGCCCCCACTTCCCTGTCCCAAGAAATCATGGTTGCTCAGCCAAGGCAAGCCACTCTGTATACCTACTTGGGTCTTTGAATGAGCACTGGAGCTAATTCCTTGATCTGAGAAGCAACGTTCCCCATTTTAGTAAGAGCATTTTGCTTAAAACTGAAGCGTGTGTCCTGCCCCTCTGGCTAAAGGCCCTGTGAGATCTGCATTATCTGTTACCTATGGATGCATGCTAGTAATTCTGATTTGTGTGGCTGCAATTGCGTTACTCTGAATTACAGATTTCATTGTGGCAGCAGTGGAGCAAAAAGCCTGTGGATTGGTTCCTTTCATTATCTCAGCTGCATGAGTGACAATGAGTTTTAGTGCAGCAGCTTAATAAGAATGAAAGGGTTCTTTCTTTGACTGATGCTATCCTTTTCTTTCTGGTCTTCCCTTAATGTTAGATTGCTCTAATTTTGCACAGACTGTACAGAATTCAGTGTTAATTGAATTAATGCACCCCCTCCCACTACACACTTTATGCAGATTGAAAACTACCTGGATCAAAGTTTTCCATGATACGATTCCAGAACGGGAGGCATCCAGAGTGCTGTCTGGTCCATCATTGTTGAATGAGTTTCAGTGGCCTGAGGAAGTGGCCAAGATGCTTGGGCTGGTACGCTCAACCATCTGTTTACTCAACCCTTGCCCTTCCTAGTTACTTACAAAAGCCAGCCACGGGATTGGTCCCTGGGTCCAGGAGGTCATTAATGCCTCACTGAGAGAGGACCAAGTCCCTGCCCCTTTAAAGGAGGCGGTGATCAGACCCATCCTGAAGGTATGCCTGGACCCAGAGGTGGCAGCCAATTATAGACCGGTGGCCAACATCCCATTTTTGGGCAAGGTGTTGGAGTGGGTGGTGGTGGGACAACTCCAAGCACTCTTGGATGAAATGGATTGTCTGGACCCATTTCAGTCTGGCTTCAGACCCAGTTATGGTACTGAATCTGCCTTGGTCGCCCTGTATGATGACCTGTTTAGGGAGAGGGGACGGGGAGTGTGTCCCTGTTGGTTCTCCTGGACCTCTCAGCGGCTTTCAAGACCATCAACCATGGTATTTTTCTGGACAGGCTGGTTGGGTTAGGAGTAGGAGGCTCTGCATGGCAGTGGTTCTGCTCCTATCTGGCCATGAGGTACCATGGGGCTCTATTCTGTCTCTCATGCTTTTTAACATCTACAATTCTACATGAAACCGCTGGGAGAGGTCATCAGGAAGTTTGGACTGTGGACTCATCAGTATGCTGATGACACCCAGCTCTACCTCTCATTTACATCCAGGTGAGGCAGTGGCTTGTCCTGAACCAGTGCCTGGCCGAGGTAATGGGCTGGATGAGGGCCAAAAAACTGATACTCAATCCAGATAAGACGGAGATCCTTTTGGTGGGCAGTTTGGATTTTCAGGTACGTGATCTTGGTCCTGTCCTGGATGGGGTTGTACTCCCTCTAAAGGACAGGGTCCACAGCCTAGGAATGCTCCTTGACCTGGAGCTGTCCCTGGAGGCCCAGGTGATAGTGGTGGCAAGGAGCGCTTTCCTTCAGCTTTGGCTGAGTCAACAGCTTCATCCTTACCTGGCCAAGCACTGCTGAGCAAAGGTGACACATGCTCTGGTAACTTTCCAGTTGGATTATTGTAACGTGCTCTATGTGGGGCTGCCCTTGAAAACGGTCCGGATACGTCAATTGGTACAAAATAGAGCTGCCAGGTTGCTGACGGGGACTAGGCGTTGTTTTCATATAATGCTGGTCCTCTATCAGCTACACTGGCTCCCAATTGTAGTCTGGGCCCAATTCAAGATGCTGGTATTAACCTATAAAGCCCTAAACAGCTTGGGACCAGAATACCTGAAGGAACGTCTCCTTCCCTACATGCTCTCATGCCCCTTAAGATCGCTAGGGGAGGCCTTGCTCTGGGAACCTCTTTGAAGGAGGCATGGAGGGTATCTACCCTGAGGAGGGCCTTCTCTGCAGTGGCACCCAGACTTTGGAATGCACTCCCCAGAGAGGTCTGCCCTGCGCCGACTTTCTACACTTTCCAGCGCCAGGTAAAGACCTTTTTATTTAGCCATCATTTTAATAATTAAGGGTTTTGCACAGCCACATTTTCTTTCTTTCTTCCTTCCTTCCTTCCTTCCTTCCTTCCTTCCTTCCTTCCTTCCTTCCCTTTAGTTTTGAAAGTCTTGTTTCATGTTGTATTTATTACTGAATGTTTTAATTGTTGTTATTGTATTATAATATTATTTTAACCTTTTAAAAGCTTTTGTAGGCCATCCTGAGGCGTTGGGTTTTTTTTTTTTTTTTTTGCAAAGGATGGGATAAAAATGTTTTAAATAAATAAATAACAATGGATGGGCAACTTCAAGCTCCAGTTCCTCTCTTCCCCTTTTGTATGGGACTTTTTATTTAAAATGGACTTCAACTGGATAGCCCTTTAAACAGAGGGTGACTTCTAATAGAGGACTGTTTTCTGATGGTCCTTCAGATAGAGACCTCCCCTGTAGAGTAGGACACAGGTCACCCTACTTGTTTTCAGAGAAAAACTAGAAAGAACATACCTGTGGAAGTTCATTGAATCTTGCAGGGACTGGCCCTTCATAGTGGATATATTCTGCAACACAAAATGCATCTGATAGTGACTGAGAGAGTCAGATATGGCAAAAATAATTTTCTATCTAGATAACAGCCAGGGCTAACGTGGACAAAACTGGTACTCTGGCTAAATCCGAGCACAGATCCCTGACCAGACAGTAACTGAACGCCCGCGTTACTGATCCAGGATGAGTCAAACATGCTTTCTGCAATTCTTTACCAGAATTCCAGCAGCTACTGCCTTTTGAGCACATGATTGACTGCACTGAATGCAGCAGATAAGTAAATATGCACAATAAATAAATGACGTGGTCAGTCGGTCTTGAAAGACAGCCTTCACACAGAGCAGTTTTCCTCAACCTGGCACCATCCTGATATTCTGGACATCAGCTCTCAGCATTCCTGACTATTACTCATGCTAGATGACTGAAATCCTCAAATGCCAGAAGGACACTGGGTTGTTGACTTGGAATCTGATTCAGAAGAGGGGGATGGGAGGCTGGAATTCACAGATGAAATGCCAAGGCCAACGGATCAAGAGATGAGCCATGCATTTGCTGAGAGCCACTCAGTTTCAAGTTCAGTGGGAAACTCAAGTGAGCAAGCTGAGATGGGTAGGGGCAGATTTAACTTCATTAGCCTGCTTATTGGGCAACAGGCTAAGTCAGTGAAGCAACTGAGAAGCACCAGACATTTCAAGCAACTGGCTTATAAGTGGCATGATCCAGCCTGAAGGTAGAGTTAGCTTGTTTTGGTCTAGAATGAAGAGAGGTATTCAGTCTGAAATCATGATCCATTTTCTTGTTTTCTTTGTTATTGACTTCTGTAATATTCTTATTTGGTATCACAAAGACAGCCTGACTGGACATTTTTAACATAAAAAAGACTTTATTTAGAAAGACTTTGTTCTGATGTACTAGGAAGGAAAGGAGAAATACTGGCTGAGGTAGCATCCAAGCTTCTTTCAGAGGTGGCACTTGAGGAAGTCCTCAGAGTTGGGAGAAGCTCTCTGACAGGTACTCCATGCCTAAGCCACATATGGCTTTATAGCTTACAACCAGCTCCTTGAATCAAGCTTGGAAGGCAGCCAACGCAAACAAGCCAGAATGGATGTTGTATGCTTAGGACTAGTTGGGTGCCCTCCATCTGATTAGAGGAACCACCCACTAGCATTATCTCAGTCTTATCTTCAGTTAATTAGCCCTCATCCAGTCCACTGCTGGAGGTTAGGACAAGGATGGACTCACCTGGTAGAAATGAAAATGAGGAGTATAGCTATGTGTCATCAGCCTACTGATGACAATCCACTGGAAAACTCTGGAGAATCCCACTCAGTGGCTTTGTGTAAATGTTGAGTAGCACAGGAGACAAAACTAACCTCTAGGATACTTCCCACCCTCAGTTCAGACAGTTGCCCCAGCAAGATGCCATGGCTGATGGTATCAAAAGCTACCAAGAGATTCTGGAGTATCAGCAGGGTTACACTTCCCCATCCCTGTCCTGAGAGGACAACCAAAACTGCTGTCCTTTATGGATCCTTCCTGAGGGTCCCACAGGCACCTGGCTGGACTTTCTTAGAAAGGTGGATTAGATGGCTCTCTGCTGAGGAAAATTGAGGGAAATTCCCTCAATACATGGCATATAGTTGTTAGTCGTGAAGTCATGTCTGACCCATCGCGACCCCATGGACAACATTCCTCCAGGCCTTCCTGTCCTCTACCATCCCCCGGAGTCCACTTAAGCTCACACCAACTGCTTCAGTGACTCCATCCAGCCACCTCATCCTCTGCCATCCCCTTCTTCTTTTGCCATCTATTGTTCCCAGCATTAGACTCTTCTCCAGGGAGTCCTTCCTTCTCATTAGGTGGCCAAAGTATTTGAGTTTCATCTTCAGGAACTGGCCTTCTAAAGAGCAGTCAGGGTTGATCTCCTCTAGGACTGACTGGTTTGATTGCCTAGCGGTCCAAGGGACTCACAGGAGTCTTCTCCGGCACCACAATTCAAAGGCTTCAATCCTTTGGCGCTCAGCCTTCCTTATGGTCCAGCTTTCACAGCCATACATTGCAAGGCATACAGTTCGAATCATGAATACTCAGGGCTACCTGCTCTGGTATGAGCCTCTGCAAAGACCAAGAACTTCTGGAGAGGGCCTCTTGTGTATCATGTCTTTTTCAGAAGACTGTTTGATGGGAACACAGGAGTGGACCTTCTCAGTGGCTGCCCGCAGGCTGTGGAATATCCTTCAGATGGAGGTGTGTTTTGTTCCCTCATTAATGGCTGCACACAAACCTTTCTTCTGAAACATGATTTTTGCCTGCAGATCTCGGTAAGAGAAATAATTAACTCCAGTATTTTCTTGCACTTTCTTTTAATTGGGAAATACTCCTTGTCCACCTCTTGCTGATGTTACGTTTTCTTTTTTTTCTGTTTCCAATTTGGATTACTTTTTAAAAGAGCATTTTTATTATGCTGGACTGCTTCTATTTTTAAATGTTTCTCAAAAGACAGGATAGAAACACTGAATAAACAAACACATGTGCAATGAGAAACACCAGCACAGAAACATCATGCACTGCTAAGAAACACATAAGCAGGACTATTAACATCCAGACACGATTCTGTAATGCCCACCTCCACCAAGTCCCATGCCCTGAGAGCAAAAACGGCCATTTAAAGCATTGTAGGAAGGGCTTATTGGCATTTCAAAGCAGCGTCAATACATGAAGATTTATGGTATTATCTAATATGGTATTATCTAATTATCTAATTATCATCTCTGGCTTGATGTCATAATATACTTCAGCAGAGAAACAATTTTCCTGCCTTACCAAGATTAAAGACTGGCAAACCCCAGAAGGACTGGGCTTTCTGATTTAGTATGTAAGCAGCAGCTTGTGTTTTGCCTGCAACGGACTCCAGTTCTCTCTAATGCTTTTTCTACTGCTTCTTATTAAGCACTTCATCAGAAGAAAATGCCTTCCAAGAGAGCTGTGGGTGCCACAGAATTAAATTTTTCCATCAGTCTAGTTTCCATAATTGGCATGATTGCTTGCTCATGTAGTATTTGTCTATTATTCCACGAGATATCTCTGTGCCACGTAAAAAATAAAATAAAAATGTGCAAGCAATTCCTTAGAGCCCATCTTAGTAGACGAATGGTTGCATGGTCATGAATTGCATGGTCTGGTATTTATTATGCTTTTGATTGAGATGCAACTATAGCAGGGAAAGAGCCAAGGGGCCTTTGCACATGATTGGCTTATTGTGCCACCAGCACATGTTTGTTTCTCATTTGTTGCACACTAGCCGTGCGTGCAAATGAGTGTGAGAAAAGGAGATATGTGCTGCACAGCAACTGGGAAGATCGGAGGCCCCATCAAGCCCCACTATTTTCTGGCTGCCCTGATTGTTAACCCTTGCAAACCTGCTTCTGACAAACCCTTCGTAAGCTGCTAGCTTTATGCCCAAATTGCTCCCAGCTACCCATCTTTTGCTAATGGGTAAAGAGCTGTTCTCTTGATTTACCATTTCCATCTGGACTGTAAAGCCATTTCCAGAGAAGGCCATGGGCTTGCGTGCCCTGCAGATGCCTAAAATGCTTTTGGTGCTAAGGAGACCAGCAGCTTCTATTCCTGGTAGGAGTAACAAAGGAGGATGCAGAGGCTTGCATTCTGGCTGCTGTCTCCCCTCACTGCCCACCAAACTACCCCCTTCTACCCCCCACCAAGGTTGCTTTTCTGACCTCACTGGCTGCAAAGGGGCAGGGTGACAATCCTATGATCTCCAGGTCCAAGATCTGTCCCTGATCTTGGTTTTGGGAATCTGAAAAACCCTTTGGCCACCCAGACGATGTCTATGGGCCATAGGACCTCTCCCTCTAAATGGCAACAGCCCAGCAACACACCTCAGGGCAAGTGTGGCCTTTGCAGAACCCAAGAGGCTAGCTTGGAACTCCAGGTGGGCTGGATTTGGTCCGTGGGCTTTAGGCTTGATGACCCCTCATAGCAAAAAGTGCTTGTGCAATGCTTTATGCAAAACAGAGACTTTGCAGTGGAAAGAAGTCTGGGCCAGAGTGTTAAAAGAGACAGAATGTTAGGATGGATCCAGCCTCATACATTCATCTCAAATGGCATTTTGCCCCTGCTTACTATGTCTTTTTCAGTCACATCATCTTTAGAAAACTATATATGAAAAATAATTACCTCCTTTCTTCTTTCCACAAAAGTTATACTTTGGGTGATGCCGCTCACAGAGTTTGGTGGAATAAATTGGGACATTGTTCCCGTTAACGTCAAGCTTTACATCTATAGACAGTTCCGTGATACTGTACCCTGTAGAATGGCCATAACATGACTCTAATGAGTATTTGCATGGAGAACAAGGCACTGTTGTTATTCATTTCCTTTAAAAGAAACTTCAAAGAAAGTGTCCTGTGTTTACATCACATGCTTTACCTGCTGAATGCTTAGAACAGTCATGGTCCCCAAATTTAGGCTGCAATCATATGCACACTTGGGGCATTAGCCCCAGTGAAACACAGTGGCGCTTCAGTTCTGGGCACACACACACAGGATCGCTCCATTTGGTGCTATGTGTTTGACAGTGGACTTGTGGTCAGGGGCCAGGAACAGAAATGGACGGCTGGGGCAGAGCCAAGTTGGAATCTGGTCATTCTGAATCTGATTAATCAGCAATGGTCCTTGCTAGAGTAAGGCAGTGCTTTGGCTGGAAGCCTGGTCGTACCAGGGATGAGATTGTTACCACGCCCCCCGCCCCCCGCCCCCTCAGCCTTTTTCTTGGTTTTGCTCATCTTCCTCTGTTCCAGTATGAAGACAAAGAGGACATCTGAGCAGGCATGGGTGAAGCAGCTGAGAGTTAGTGCCACAGACAGCAGGCTTCAGGACCAGATCTGACTCAAGAAACGTTACTCCAACAGTGACCTGGAGCTTATGGAATCATTATGGCTGAGAGGCAACATGCAATCTTCTGAGGAAATTAAAAGCAGAACTGAGGAATGTCCCGATTTCCCTTGCCCCCCTGCTGGCTTCCCACCAGTTCTGCCATACCTTCTCTCCACTGCCCAGTTGCAGTTACCAATGAAGAAGGCACCATCTGGATTGTAATTTTGTGTTCATTTGCATGTGTGCATGTGCATGCAGCCTTTGATCTCACAGCCAGCATCCCGTGTGGCTTTAGCATCACACGTGGCCTTTGGGGCCAAAATACTGTAGTTGAGTATTGCTACTTTACAGAACCTGTCAGAGAGCAATCTGGGTGACGTCCCAGTTTCATGTAGTCAGCCTGTTTGGGAGTTGCACAGGTCTGCATTCTCAAGAAGGTGAAAGAAACCCTGATATCTCTAGGCTTGGTGTTGTGAGGGAAGAGAGTCCTTTTGGCTGCTGGTCATTTGCAGGAGTTATCTGAGGAAGGAGAAGGGCAGTGCGGCCTCCTTTGGAACCCAGGGTGGAGACCTCACTGTCCACTGCGGTTCTCTATCTGCAGAGGTGTCTACTGGACCACACTGCTTTGGAGACTGCATTCTGGAAGATTCAAGGACACCATCATCCCTATTCTGACAGAGAGGCTAGGGCCAAATCCTGGCTATTTTCCGTAGCCCATGCTGCAGCACAATAATGTTTGCTCATTTCTCCTTGCAAAACTCAGTTTTGCTTTTAGGAACCACTTCCCAAATGTCTTGGGTGATTCCTTAATATTAAATAGACTTGAGATGAGTTTCAATCTTTTATGGAAACTCTGGTCAGCAAGTGATGAACATGTGAACTAGTTATAAGTATCCAGCACAGACAAGCTAACTCGAGATATATGTTTGCTCAAATAAAATAAAATAAAATAAAATAAAGTAAAATAGGGGGAAGTTCCACTTTGAGGCCTTTGCAGAGAACAGCTTGCTTGCTGAGGTCAATTATCCACAGTGGAAACTCCTGTTTTTGAGCACATGCATTTTATTAAGCAATCCACACCTGCCCTTTTATAATGGAGCTTCTTATTTTGGCACAAAGAAATACAACATGTCATACTCACTTAAAATGGTTGCTATCCTGATGGTCACTGATTGAGTCAACGCAGCGGAACAAGTGCTCAAACTGAAAGCAAAATCACTGGTGGGATCTGTGGAGAAGAGCACAGTGTGAGCCACAGGTGAGCACTTCTGTTGGTAGTACATGGGAGAGTGATTTAGAAATAACTGGAACCGGTCTCATCCTGAGGGTGTTTATTGGGAATTTATCCATTTATCATATGAAGCACCAAACTGAGTTGTACTGAATGCAGCTATTCTGCTCTGCTTGGTCCCTCCCTACCACAGTTTCTTATCAAAGTCCATGAGGAAGTAAGCTGAAGAGACTGCTGCATTTGTCCTTTTCTGGCCAGGATTTGATTAGACAACATAGTCTCCGCAGTCGTCTTCTCCAGGCTGCGGCCTTCCCAATGAGCTGCACCATAATTCTTATCAGTCAGCATCATTGCATGGTGACAATGGACAATTTAGTCCAACACATCTGGAGGGTGCCGTTAAGGGTGTGTCTGGAAATGGGGCTTCTTCTTTGGTATTCTCTGATAACCGCTTGTGCAGGAATGTCACTGTTCACAATGCTTGGGCTAAAACTGGGAAGTGACTTCCCTTCAGCGTATGGTGAGAGCTTGGAAGAAGCTGCTAGTGAACCAGCATTCCAAAGCTAGTGGGTCAGTGGCTCTCCCTAAAGCACAGGTCAAGCACAGTGTTATAGGAAAACAAATCACTGAGTGTACCTTTCTTCTCTGGTATGAAAAAATGGCATGAAAAACCATGCCTGACTCACAGGATGAGATAGTAGGAATCTGGAACTCTTCCTTGTTACCATTTCTTGCATGGGTGGGATTTTTTATATTGGTTTTTATTGCAAGCTTTAAAAAAGTCAAACAAAAAAAGAAAGAGTGTTAAATTTGGGTGGCCTTGTTATCTCACATTTGTGTTTGCAATGGATGCATGTCAAAGCTGGCCCAACTTCTGAACCCTTTTCATGGGATGAGCTGGCAGCAAGCAAGAGCAAACTTCTCTTTATAAAACAATGAAGTATTTTATTATGTTGTGAGCCGCCCCGAGGCTACGGCAAGGGGCAGCATAGAAATGTTTTAATAAATAAATAAATAAAATGTTAAAAACTAACCAATACATTAGATTATTTGTTAGTCTTTAAAGCTCTTCCTTGAGTTTGCTCCATACGCTACCAATGCAATCATAGGTATGTCTACTTGTCTTGCACACCTTGTCTCCCTATGATGCATAATTGGAGCAATTTAGCAACAGAATATCAGTGAATTGTTTTGCTCCTTAAACAATTCTGACTGCTGTTTTTAACCCTATTTCCGCTGAGTGTTGCAATTTGCAAGAGCAGTTCCCTTTCCTTGCAGGAAATCTGACTTCTCTTTTCTGTGTTTCCACTTCCCTTTTTCCTCCTCAGTCTGTGCTGGATCACGTTAAGTCTTTGATACCTGCACTAGAATGTTTCAGTTCCTTTTATGTGCATGCATTTCATGAGGAAGGTCACAATTAGGGCAAGTTCTTCAACAAATGGGATTCGGTGTGACAAACACATTTTGTGCTGATGGTTGTGCTTTCCTACCTGTACACTGGGCCTTTGCGTGTGGAAGAGTTTCCCACCTGCAGTGAGGGCAGATGTATAGCAGCTGGTATTTTGTGTTTTCTGCTGGCTATTATGCTGGTATACATATATATAATGTCTCTGACACTGGAAGAAGCATGCAGCCATTATGACTACTAGCCACTGAAATTCTCGGCCATGAACTTGTCTAATCCCCCTTTACAGCCATCCAAATTGGTGGCCATCACCATAAGAGTGATATTCTTGGTGTGATTTTCCCAACCTGTATGCTTTTCTTCTCTTCCATTAAGTAGTAAGCAGGCTGCTGGTGGTTATGCAACTGATCAAGGAAATGTGCTCTGCATATGCTCTATAGTACTCTTTCCTTATGATTCTATACAGTCTGATGCTGAGCCATGATTCTGGCAGTAGATTCTGGCAGAATAATTCTAGGTGAGCCCTGATCTGGGGAGAAAATTGCAGACTGAAAAAGAACCTGAGTTTGTTGACTTGGCCTTCACTGTACATCACTAGCAGTTATATCTATCCACCCACCCATTCATTTGCAGGCTGCAAATGTACACATCCTGAACTCTTACAGAGTCAAAATGTTTACTTTTCTCTTCCAAGAGAAAATTACAGAGTACTTCAACCTTTGACTTCACCACCATATTCAAATATAGACAGAACTATGAATTCTCCCAGTTTCCCACCATCTACTGTCTTCAATCTGTTATTTCTTTCAGAATTCACATTTTACTTGCCATACTTGATCCCCTTTCACCCAACAGAGTGGAGAATAAGCATGATTTTCTCACATGAAGGATGCCACACACAGTGTGAAAAAGGCATGATATAAAATAGTTGAATGGACAAAGGTGCATAGGTGGATTGGGCAGTGGGGGCACACCTAGGTTGGATTTTAACAAAAGCGTTGGGTCTGGAGGCATAATGAGAACATAACAAAATTTGTGTCAAATCATGCGAAGGGTCCATCTTATCTGGCATTCTGTTCCTATAGTGGCCAACGAGCTGCTTGTGGGAACCCACAATGGCACACAAGTACAATAGCACCTTGCCATTCATGGTGTTTTCCATGGATTTCTCTAGTTCCCCTCTGAAATCATCCACATTGGTGGCCATCTTCCAAGGGTGGGATTTTGTTTCCAGTAGGGCTTGACCCTGTCACAAAAACCGAATGCAGGAAGACTCCTGCTCAGAGGTGCCTGCCACCTCTTGAAACTCTGGCGAACTGCTCCTGTCCTAGACATGAAGACTACTCAGTTTTTTTTAATGCAGTAGTTAGGGTGACTACTTAAGCAGCACCAGAAAAGGGGACACAAAATGGTGTGCAAAATTAGCATGTGCTGACACACTTTTACAGATATAAATTTAGAAAGAACTGTATCATTATTTCAGAATACAATACATCCCGCAATAGTGGGGAAGGCTGTGCCCAGGGAAGCCTCTCAGTTTGCTGTCCAAATGCTAATGGACAACTCCTGGTCTCCTACTTTCCCTTCTCATAGTTCTTGTTCTTTTAACTGGGCTAGGACTGCACGGACTTTGAAATGGAGGATGCCTTTTTCTGAAAGACTGTCCTCTGTAAAGTAGACACACATTTTCCCTGGCCATAGTTGTAATGTTCAGTGCTGCTGCCTTACACCTACCAAAAACAACTACTCAAATCTCTCTAATTATCAGGTACCATGTCCGTAAGATCTATGGGCAGGATGAACTGCCCATTAAATTCTATTTTCTCAACTCTTTCATCTCCTTCACCTGGTGACCTGAATCACAAGTAGGCCTTTCCCAACTGGAGGATATCCTAACCAAAGTGATGTCTGATGATCTTATGATTCACCAGGCACTGAGATGGCAGAAGTTGGAGAGAGAAAAAACCTTCCACCCTTTTGGACTCACTAATTAAAATATGATGCATGAGAACTGTTCCATTTCTCCTCCTCCAGTTCCTTTTACCATCCATGCACATTTTGGTTCAATAATGCCAGACAGCTAGTTGATAGTTTTCTAATGGATGATTGCTTTAAATTATTTTTTTTTGTGAAAAGAGGATCCAGCAGATTAATAGCACAGGTTTCTCAGCATTGATCTGGCTGAGTTCATGCATTCTAGAGGATGGGTGCTTGTGGTGATGGGGAGAAATCCTACTTCTCCACCGAATACATCAATACCTTTGGCCTTTCCATATTGCTCATCTGGGAACAGTCAGACACTGGCAAGCCAGTGAATTATTTGAACGTATCCCCCCTCCCATTTCACACTAAAATAGCAAAGCAGAAAGGAAACTGGAAATGAACACACAGAGGAATCATTCTTAGCACTTATGTAGTGCTTCCCACCTCCAAAGCCTTTAATAAGACCCCCTCTAATTAATCCTTGCAACAGCCCTGATGAAGAAATGATTACAAAATGATCTTTAATTTAATAGTTAAATCCTTTCTCATCACTGTCACTTCAGCTTAAGGAACATTGTCCTGAAGCAGTCTCCCTAAAACTCTGGATAGACAAAGCATACTTTCAGCTAGCCTGGTCACACCTATTTGCAGAATATTTGCACATACTAATTTGTATGTATAGTTGCAGAACTAGAATTAGTTACTGTAGGCTGACTAGATGAACAATCATCTGATCATAGTGGAGAAGACTCTGACCAGGTGACCTGTGCCCCTGCCTGTTCTACCCACTGGCCAAATCCTACCTGTTGACCAGCAACTTCAAGTCCTCTCCCTTCCTTTCCTTGGATGGTTCTATATCTGTAAAGTCTTTGACAGTCCTTCAAACAGAAGACGCCTTCAAAGAGAGGATTGTCCTCTGCAAAAGAGGGCATATGGCCATCCTACCACACTTCCAAACTTTAAAACTGAAGTTGGAGGCTTACATCTAAAATGGTTTACTCAGAGTCGGATGCACGGTTATAGGGGTGCATTCAGAAGAGGTTCATAGATGTCAGTGCACCTCAGGCTCTCTTTCTAATGTGCACATGGGGTTAGGCAACTGGCAAATTGCATGTTGCTTTACGGCACAGCATGTGGCTTGCCACTCCACCTTTGCCACCTCATTGACCTCAGGGGTGCCATCAGGGCAGCACTCTGGAGCAGAGGTCCAGGGCCCGCTCAGCAGAGTGAATGAGAGCACAGTAGCCAAACAAGATGCGTTGCCAAAGAAAAGAGATGGCGTCATGGGAACAAAGAGGACAGCAATTTGCATGATATTTGCATATATGCAATTTCAGTAAATGAGTGTGGGAACTCAAAAGAGGGCTTTTTTCAATGATGTCCCCTTTAATTGGGGAACTCCCTCCCAGTAGAGGTGTAATTTGTACATTACCATCTAACTCTCAGCTGTGTGTTGTTGTGACCTGTATATTGTTGTACATAGTCTCTGTTTTGTTTTGTTTATATGATTGGTTTATTGTTATATGATGTATATTGTGTTGTTATTTCATTGGTATATATATTCTGATCTTATTTGCTTTGTAAGGGAGTCCTGTGAACAAATTGGTTGTGCAATATTAATTTAATACTAAATAAAAATAAATAATTTGCCCCATACTGTGACCACTTGTAAGATAAAGAACTTTTTACTTGCACAAGGAGTAATCCTGAATGGTTGGTTTGGGTGTTTTTAGGTGAGATTACCATTGCTCTATTGCAAATATTCCATGTGTTTGTCTGAGATTAGGGTTGCTTTATCAGTAATTGTTTTACTGATATTTTAAGCCACATTATAGCTTCTTCTGGAAGAAGGGTGAGGTATGAGAATTCTGAATAAATCCAATAATGCTGCAGGATTTCTGGTGCGAAGAGCAGGCTCTGGCCATGCTCCACTCATGTAGGGTGGCCTCTTAGTTAACCTCTGAAGTTCCTTCCATGGAGGACTGTCCTCCGTAAAGTGGGACAGCAGGGCATCTTCGAAACCTGCCACCCTGTGTGTCAGGTTCCCGAGTGCTTTATAAGTTGCCCTGTATTGACACACTCTGATTTATGTCTAGCATGATCTGTAAAACCATCTGCTGCCTAATCTGTCTTTATCGCTGACTCTCCTTAAATGTGCCTTGGGGAGCCATTTTTGTAGTTTGAGGCCTGTGGATATTTTTCTTCTTGCTGCTGCAGTGTCGATTTCTGGAAGGAGGACAGGGTTATGCTTCATGTTAAATGACAGAGTTTAATCTAAGCCCGCAACCTCTGGGAAAGACAAATCTGAAATGGACTGGCTTCTGGGTTTGTTTTTTCTTGATCTCTGTCGCCATGGTTGATATGTCTGGATTTAATCTGTCACCGAGATCTTGAGAGAAATGGTGGGTGGGAGAAACCTGCACCATATTTCTATCATGTGGAGAGAGGAAAAACCGTGTGTGTGTGTGTGTGTGTGTGTGTGTGTGTGTGTGATTTTTCTCTCGTCATTTACGGCTTTCCTTTTGTTCTTCTGCCTGGTAATTTGATAGAAGGGAAGATCTGGAAGCCCAGCTCTTCTGAATGGCATGCTGTATGAATAAGCTTTTTCTAGAACTATTGGGAAAGACCATCAAAGGCAGCCTACATGGTGCAAGGTTAGAGAGCTGTATGTGGGCGAGGTGGGCCTGCAGCTCACTTAGTTAACTTGAGCCTGTCACTGCTCAAGGTGACTGAACCTGTTCAAGGTTTTCCAAAGAAAACCAGCTCCAGGAATTAGGTTGTTTTAGACTCTGGACCAAATGGTCTTACAGAGGGTGGGGGATGGTTTTAGATGCTAAGGTGGATTGCTTTGCTTACTTCAGAACGTGGGATCAAAGGTAGGCACAGGTGATCACCTGTTGAGGGCCCACACCCCAGCACGGGCCAACGGACACCAAGACCCCCTGGAGCTGATGCTTCTTTTCACCTTTGCAGCCTGCTTCTTGCCCTGGCCTGGACAATCGTGGCGGTGAAAAGGAGGAACAGGAGATGCCTCTGCCAATGTGCTCACTGGTTCTCCATCTGCCAAGCAAGAGGAGAGTAGAAGTGGGGAGAAAGAGGGGGAGCTACTGACAGTGGTAGTGGAAAGGGTGTTCCTCAAGGGACTGTGTTGCTCATGATGAGGGAGAGGACCCCACTCTGGACTTCTGTCCTGATGGCACCACAGAAAGAAGACTCCATTCAGTAGGGAGGTTAGTCCACATTTAACCCTTTTCCTGCAAGCAATTTTTCTGCTCCACATTGTCTTCCACAAGCTAATTTCTTCCCACAGGATTCTGCTGCAAGGATTCTGTCTGGGAAGAAACACTGATGCGGAAAGGTTGTCATTATCCCCCTTCATACATGTCACTTCTCTGCTCAAAACAGTACTGAAGACACATTTTGTCAGAAAGTATGACAATCACGGACAGGGTGTCTGTTTCTGTATATCTCTATAAGAAAAGGGGACTAGACTCCTGGTCACTGACAAACTTTCCTGGCATGCCATTTTGAACTGGGAGAGGCAATGGCAGGGCTACACATCTCCTTTCGTCCTTGATTTATCCTGATTGATCAGGGGCAGGCAACCTTTTTGGGCCAAGCGTACATCTGACAATTTGAGAAACTGTCCTGAGTACCATCACAAAATGGACCTGGACTGGCAAAAAGGCCATGCACCACTTCTTGGAGGCAAAGATGGGATCAAGAGGTCTCCAGTTGCTAACCAATTATGCTGGAATCATTGATTAATTTTTTAGTTTTGAATGAAAGCGCAATCAAGGAAGTGGGAATTGTTGACACTTTTCAGAAACATAGGAAGCTTGAGCTTAACCACATTTATCTAGAAGTAAACTTGATAGGTTTCAGTGGGATTCACTTCAAAATAAACAGGCTTTAGGTTGTCTTCGCTAGTGGCTGAATGAATTGGATGACATAGCAACTAAAGAACAGTGTTGACGGTGGATAGAAGGACCTGCTTTTTTGCTCTGTCCCGTCAGCTTCTCTCTCCCTCTCTGTGGGGTGCAGCAGAGGGAGCAGCTTGGCTGTAAAAAGCATCTCATACATTGTTGATGGTCGACTTCCACCCAATGTAAGCCCATAAGCTTTTGTCTGCTGTGTGATGAGACCAAGGTTGCTTCGGGAGCAAACATTAATATGCCCTTTATTGTGGTTGTTTTTGTTGTCACTCGTTCTTTCTCAGTGTGGTAAAGTGTATGGAAGTTTGAATTTGACGTTTGAATAACGCTGTAAGCTGCACCATCCATCTTCCTGAGGCAGCCTGGGAAGAAGGTCTCGGGTTGTAATTCATTGGCTGCCATCACAAGACAGCTGTAGTTGAACACTCTAGGCCTCAGTTGCCTTGTATGTTCAAATGAATTTTGTTAATTTGACAGTGTGCTTATTATGAGAGGGGTCTCTGTGACCACACTCCTCAACAGTGTATCTAGTATCAAAGCTCATTAGAGACAGGAAGTCTCTTGTTTAGAGTTGTGCCCAAGATTAGTGTGGTGAAGCACAAGACTTGCAGACCTTCTCCAACCTGGTGTCCACCAGACATGTTGGATTACAGCTTCTGTCATTCATAGCCAGTCAAGAATGATGGTAGTTGCAGTCCAGGTTGGACACCAGGTTGCGGGGAGGAAGGTGTACCAGGTCCTTTGTCCAGGCCAGGTATCTCCAGAGAAAAGGTCTACAGTTAGTATGGCTGGGAAAGACCCCTGCCTGAGGCCTTGGAGAAATATTGGTGGTCAGATTCGACCACAGGGGGCTACAAGGAACCCATAAATGGCAGCTTCATGTGTGTTTCTCCTCCAGAGCATAAGGATTAAAACAAACCATCCGCATAGCTTCAATTGCATTTTCCTAATACCAGGGTCCTACTTAGAATAACTGAAAGCAGACTTGGTCTCCCAGGAATGGGCTGGTAAAAGATTTCATGCCAAATATTTATTTAGTCCGTGTGCCCTTCACTGGTTGTACTTCAATGGATGCGTAAAGCAGCGCCTGATCTTCAGAGGAGTGGGCGGGGGGAGCCCCCAGAGGGCAGCCTTTGGTGTTTGGATGAACTGGGGAAACAAGCGCTTGGGTTTTCATTTGCCATTAATCACTTTTCCCATCACGTGCCTTCTATGAATGAGATGTCTATAAAGCCAATTCCCTTTGTCCCCAGTTGTAAAAGCACATCAGTGCTGCGGTGGAGGCACAAGGCCAGTGGAGTTGAAAAGGAAGGGCTGCTGAGCGGATTCGCTGTTCTTTTCACTTTGGAGCTGCTTGCTTCTTTTCTTTTCGGCAGACTGGAGAAACATGCATGCCCACAGTCCGTGGGAAATGCCTCCACTCTGTGCACCCCTTGCATGGCCAAGCAGCAACAGCTTTTGACAACCAGGTTCTTTCTGAGTAGCACGTTAAACCTCATGTCAGGCTGAGTACGAGGGAGTGAGCAAAAAATACAAGATGTATATGACCATGGCCAACAATTGTTACTGGGTGGGAGAAAAAAGTCTTCCTGTATGGTTTATTGCAGGGAGAAACTGAGTTTTAGTTTATGATTAGAGTCGACAAAGTGTTTTTTCCCCCTAATAATTGCTGTTATTTATTTATTTATAAAATTTGGATGCCATCCAATTACTTGTGTCTCTGGACGGCTTACAACATAAGCCGTTGTAAAATCTTATTGTTGCAAGTTAGCATTATTTTGGTTGATGATGATTGATGTTAGATGGATGTGCATTCACCCTGCTCTCAATTCTTTGTTGATTTTCACCACATTGCAGTTTAATTGATCTTGAGCCGTGCTTGGAAAAACTTGCTTTAATTTAACTTCCATGCTTTGGAAGTTACATTTCCAAAGGGCATACAGGAAGGTTTGTTGTTATTTTATATCTTTGCTGTTATTACCATTATATTTAATCACTTCTGTGATTTAGACCTTTGCAGCATGCTAAATATTTTCTGTTTATTATCTGAGTTACAACTTCATAATCCATTGGGAGCTGCCTATGTGGAAAAAACCTGCCCCAATCCACTGATATGTTCTTCTGAGCACAGGAATTCTGATGCATGCAATGGGATTCTTTGCACGGCATGGTCTCTTCATTTATTCTGGTGGAGGGACCAATCTGCATATACAGCTCTTTGTTTATGTAGACCGAATCTCTCTGTGGAAAAGTATGTAGATCTTTGCACACTGAAAAGGCTGATATGCACATTCAGACAAACACAGAAAGAATTTTGGACTGGGTGAGTCACTCCCACAAATAAACATAGAATCTAAAATGTGTGTCCTACATTCAAACCCCACAAACAATTGACTGTGCTGCAACTGCCCATTTTCTGCAAGAGCAATATAATAGTAGTAATATCACAATAGAGAGAAGTGAAACGGTACTATAACAGCTCACCACAGCTTCGGTACTTTATTTCCAAGTGACTGTTCTTGCAGATTGTGCGTGTAGGCCATCTGGTGATGCTGGTGGCAGTATAAATCAGCAAAAAGATGTGAAGAGCAACTTTAAGCATCTTGATGCTATCTGTTGATGAGGGTCTGTAAATTGTTTCTCTTCTTTATAACCAGTGTCTGAAGAGTTAGTCAGTCAACTTCCTCTTCCTAGCAAATGCAGTAGCTCCAACTTACGGCATCGACGGCCCACACAAGCATTAAATACATTCTCATCCTTTGAAAGGCAGCAAATCGCTAATCAGAGGGGCGGTGTTTCTCTTTTAAGATTCCTGTGTTCTGTTTCATGCTAGTTTGTACTCCTAATGAAAGGACCAAGAATATTTCATTCTTTGAAGCTTCCATTCCATGCTGAGCTGCAGGGTGAACTGCCACCTTGACTATCCACACCTCTCAAGATTTCAAGATCTTTGTACTTCATTTGATTATAAGGAAAGTTCACCCCATGTTATCTAAGAAAGGGTTTCTGTCATACCCTTTCCAGAGATTTTCCTCTGCTTTTTCTGCATGTAATGATGCCATCTTTAATTTCAACAGAGGGGTTGACATAGCTTTCAGCAACAAGCAAGGGGGCAATCCTGGAATTGCTTCAGAGGGAGGATCATTAGACTGAAACCAGCGTGCTTAGAGTAGATCCACTGCAATCAACAGGAATTAATTTAGATTTGGCTGAGATGTTCCATTCATTTCATCTGGTCTGCTGAAGGCATGGTGACTAGTTCTGGATTCAACCCAAGGAGCTGGAAGCTGCCTTGGAGGCTCTCTAGCTCAGTTCTCAGCTCAGTCCAGGACATCTAGAGGTCTGCATCCCTGACAGATGGCTCTCCAACTGCTGCTCTAAGTCCTCCAATGAGGGTCCCCCAGCCCTCTGGGTTGCCTTGTCACATTGTTTCCCCCAATATTTAATCACAATCAACCCTTCTTTCCGATAAGCCCATAGGGCAGCAGAAAACAATTGGGTTCACACAACACAGTAAGCTATCCCTGGCTTATAAGCCACCATGGGTTACCGTGTTGTGTAATCCTAGTAGGTCTGCACCTTCTTATATTTGCTTGCTCTTCAGGAATTTGAAAACTACTACCATGTCTTTTCTTGGGCTAGGCATACTCAGGTACTTCTGCCTTTCCTCCTAGGACTGACTTTGTTGCTTGCTTTTCTAATCAATCAAATCAATTCCAATTTTTCTCTGTCCGTGTTGATCTGTAGTCCCCAGAACTAAACATTCTTTCACCACCTTCCTTGGAAGAACCACCCATGAAAAGTAGATCTTACCTGAAATGTTGTTCTTAAGTCATTAGATGCCCTCTGTTTGGGTCCTGTACAGCCTTGCATTGATACTACAGAGCTATGGGTTGATATCATGGATCAATTAAGATTTTTAAACAGGGTAACCATGTATTATTTTACTTGATTAATTAATGAAATAATTGAGTTAGCGGATTGCATTTTAATACAATTTAATACAGCAGACTCTGTTGTTTTAAGCACATTCTTAAAACAACAGAGTGAAAAAGAAACCCAAATCCTCAGTAAAAATACCATTTGAGATTCCTAGAGAGAGAGGACATTTATTCTTATGCATGGAATAACATATCATATTGAAGGGCAGTTGCCATTTGGTGTTCAAAGCAAAAACTCTCCTCCCCTATGCACATTTCAAACTTCAAAAACATTCCATGTTTCTCCACTGAAATCACATATCAAGCCAAACTGATAAACAGCACACGGTCCATCAATACTTTGGGAAATTGCTCTTTCAAAGTTTCATTGACATTGATTTGTCAATCGAACAATGTCAACTGCAGACCTGGTAGAAATGGTCTTCATGGCAGGATAAACTGCATCAACTGTTTCTGGCACATTACTTTGGCATGGCTGCTTTGCTGTACGAACAAGATCAGCAGGACTGAAGTGCCTTGTTAGAGAAGGAAAGACCCTTCCTGTAGTCTAACCCAGGAATTCCAACACAACCTCTGCAAATCTGCCGCCTTCTCCCTGTTTTTATTGAGTGATTGCATTTGTACCTGGCCTGTTTACCAAAAATACGGCACTCAAGGCAGCTTACAGGCATAATTAAAATGGATTAACACAATAAAACACATCAAACAGAATAAAATGTGGCTATTAAAAAATAGCAGCATCCAACCAGCAGACCCATTTACAGGCCAAACGGTTGAATAAAACAGTCTCTCAGCAAAAAGACATCACAGGGAAATTGAGCCTTATCTCGCCTTCCCTGTGACTGACCAACTGCCATCTTCACTGCTCTAGAAACGAGCTCAGAGCCATTCTCAAAGAAGAAGATGGTGCCTTCAAGCCACTGCTTGGATCCAAAACACGCCCTGGCTTCATGCTAAGCCTAAAAGACAGTCCTCAGCCCAGGCCTGAGCTAGGTTGAATGCTAAGCTTGGGGGACCAGGAGCTTGGGGGAGTGGGATTATCATGGAGGAGTAGAGTGGATGGTGGAGCAATGATGGTCAGCCATTTTGGGGCAGGTCATGCAGCCCCTCCTCAAAATTCCAGATGTGCCCAATGAAGCCCCCAAAGCTTGGTGACCCTAATATGTAGAGACAGGAAAGTTGCTTATGGCATCAGACTTTGCCCTAAATTATTGCCATTCAGTTCACAGGACTGTGTTCCCTCTTGCTCACTTGATTTAAGTTGATCATTCACATTGTAAATGCCTGAAAATGATGATAGTGTCTCTCGTTCTTGAAGGCAGCTACTAGGACTAGACCAAATCCCAGTGAAGTAGGCTTCTGTTCTTATGAATTTAATTCCTAAGGAACAGGGTTGAAAAGAAAGTTCTTGACTGGCAGAACATGCTTTTGAGCAACTGAGTGTTTGCGTCTGCGCTTGCTCTTTATAGGACTCAGAGTTTAAGCCAAAAGCTTCCTTGAAGTACCTGTGTTAGCAATAAAAAGAATATTTGAATATGTGGAGGGTAGATTTCTTCTGCACTGAGGAAGCACAACTGTACCTACAGCCTGGGCATGATGAGAAAGATCCTCTTAGACAGCACCTTGGGTCTACATGGCCGAACTAAAAAACCCAAGGCTTTCAGCATCTTTCTTGTTTCTAGCCTGAGAAACAGCTCAACTCAGATAGACCTCCAGCTCTCTTCGGGTGTTACTTTTACGGGATATGTCATAGAAGCAGCTGCCAAAGTTTATAGGGCATAGTTTGTGGTTGTGGGGCTTTGGGAGTGGGGCTGACTACTCCAGTCAGCTCGCTGCTCACTGGAGATGAGAAGGTGGGCTACTGGGGCCACCTGCCTGGTACTCAAGGAAGCTTACAGGCTTAATTAGAATGGATTGACACAAGAAAACACATCAAACGGATGTGTGGCATTTTCTGTGACATTCAGAAAATTCTGCTCACACTCCAGACTCTGTGCAAATAGGGCATTCCTATTGCTTTCCTCCCACAGACCAGGTCAGAGATGCAGGGGGCTGAAGAGCAAGTGCTTTTCAGACCAAGCACCACATTCTCTTGTGGAAAACCTTTGCTGGCACATGGCCGGCTGCAAAGTGGGCTGTTCTGGGCCAGGCGTGTGTGATTCCAGCACCATTCCCCACAACCTCCCTTCCCTTTTCTCTCTTCCCTGCACAAACACCTATTCACACACAGACTCTCGAATAGTAGGTTCAGAAGGGATCAAGAAGGCCACCGAGTCCAACCTCCTTGGTGCAGGATACAGGATACAAATTCACCCCATACCACTCAGATGGCTCTCCAGTTTCTTCTGTGCTGCAGTTTAAGTTTGTTGTTCTGTGTCCTAGACTTTCTTTCCTCTCTGTGACAGCCTTTGAAGCACTTATCGAGTGCTATCATATCCCCTCCGAGTCTTCTCTTCTTGAGGCTGAACAGGCCCAGCTCTCTCAGCCTCTCATCATAATGGTAAAGGGCATCTTTGGTGCCCTTTCTAGTTTTTCTGCATCGTTTAAAACCCTGGATGCCCAGCATTGAACACTGTACTTCTGGTGAGGTCTCACTAGTAAAGGAGTACTAGTACTTCTCTTGTTCTGGAAGTGATGATCCATTTATGCATCTCAAAATAGTGCTTGCCATTTTTGCAGCTTCATCACTCTTCTGGCTAATATTTTTCTTGTTGTCCATGACAACTCCAAGGTATTTTTCTTTTTCAGTGCTATTGAGCCAAATATTCCCCATCCTGTATCAATGCATTTAGTTTTTTTCCCCATAGGTGGAGAACTTTGCATTTGTCCCTGTTGAATTTCTTTCTGTTGCTTTCCTTTCTGCCCAGCATTCTCACTTGTCTAGGTCACCCTTGATCTTTTTTCCTTCCAGGGTGCTGGCTATTCCACCCAGTTTTATGTAATCTGCAGATTTAATTACTCTTCCCTGGACTTCCTCATCCAGATCATTGATACAGATGTTGAGGAGCACTGGTCCCAGGACTCAGGCCCGTGGCACCTCACTTCTTACGTCTCACCAGGTTGTCAGTGATGAGCAGTCTCTGTAGCCTGTTTTGTAGCCAGTTGTGGATCCACCTAATAGCAGTTCTGTTGAGCCCACATTTTGCTATTTTATCTATCAGGATATTGTGGGGCACTTTATCTAATGCTTTGCTAAAGTCTTGGTAAATTATGTCCACAGAATTTCTGCACTCCATCTGGCTAGTTATTCAGTCAAAATATGAGATTAGGTTAGTTTGGCATGATCTATTCTTAAGAAATCCATGTTGATTTCTGTTCATCACTGCATTTTCTTCAAGGTGCTTCCAGATGGATTTTTAAAATAATTTGCTCCAGTATTTTCCCAGGGACTGATGTGAGACTGAAAGGTCTATAGTTCCCTGGTTTGTTCCCTGGGCTTTTGAAAATCCTCCATTTGTGTCAAAGCTCACCTTTAAAAGTCTAAGTGCTGTATGGAGAGGTTTGCAGTGCATAGGAAGTAGGGAATTAACTGCAAGTACCCCTGAGCTTCTGTTCTAAAAAACCTAATTTCTGCACAAGGGGGCGGGGTGAGCCGGACAAGATGGAGGACCAAGCTCTGGATGGAGGGACCCTGGGATGGCCTGCCGGTTGGAAGTTCTGCATCCAGGTGGAAAGTTCAAGGGGTCAGGAGGAGAAGCAGTACAGCTGGTCCTCCACCCCAGAACTGGAGACTGGGAGAGGGGACTGCAGGGCCAATGCTGGTCTTGTTTGTACTTCCCTGCTTCTTTTTTCTGCCTTGTTCTTGAAATGAGCTGGTCTCTTGCCTGCCATCCGAGCAGGGAATAGTGCAGACAGCCACTGCAGCTATGTAAGTATGGGCCACGTCTGCTCTCTGTTCTTGGCTTTTTTGGTGTTCTCTGTAGCACTGGAAAGGACAACAGGGT